TGCAACAATGAACTGGTTATTGTAACTTTTTAAAAAAATGTTTATTTATTTATTTTTATTTATTTATTTATTGAATCACTGTGGGAAAAGTTACAAAGCTTTTAGATTTAAGTCTCGGTCATGCAATAATCAAACACATTTCCCTTCATCAGTACTTATTTTTCATCACCAAGAACCCCAATATACTCCCTCTCCCACCCCTCCCAATGCCTGTGAGGCAGATGAATTCTAATTAACACTCTATCTACTTTGATTAGATTCATTGTTTTGACAAAAGATGCACCATTATTGTTTAGAGTTTACACCCCAAAATCAGACCTGCTGAAAAGGCATTGTGAAATAATTTGTTTTCTACAGCTGGTTACAAGAACCAAATGATGTCACACGGCCACAATAGTGGCTGCACGATTTTGGGTTTCTGATATTTTACTTATTAAGCCTGGAAGTATTTCTGCCGAGAGTCAGATAATTATGAGATTGGTTTCTGGGCTCTGGAGCCATGGCCGTGCCGGAGAGCCGCTCATGAAGGGCAACTCGTTACCTCAGTAGGGCCTGAAGGACGAGCCGGGAACGGCCCCCTTCCCATGAGGTTTTAGTTGCCCCGTCACCACCACCGACTCATACCTGGCTTTTCAAAAAGCTCCGCGGTGGCTATCATCTTGCTGTCCAGGGGAGAAAAGGTGGAAGGGAGCAACACACTTTCCCTCCCGGGCAGGCATGGTGCCGTAAATTAACACATAGTCCAATCACTTTTCTGCCACAAGCTACCAGGCTCTGCATTAAGTCCTTGTGTTTCTGGAGCCATGGCCATGCAGGAGAACCGCTCATGGTGGGCAACTCATGACCTCGGTAGGGCATGAAGGATGAGTGGTTATTGTAGCTTTTGAGGTGCAGAAGCTTCTTAATTTAAGATAGTCCCATTTTTTTTATCTCTGTTTCCACTTGGTTGGTCAGTGGTGTGTCGTCTTTGAAGATACCATTAGCCTCAATATCCTGGAGGGTTTTGCCGACCTTGTCTTTAGTGTATCTAATGGATCTGGGCCTGATGTTGAGATCTCCTGAAATTCATATGGAACAACAAACACCCACAAATAGCTAAAGCAATTCTTGGGAAAAAGACATGGGGAGGCATTGCCCTCCCCATCCTCAAACTCTACTACAAAGCGGTAATAATTAAAACAGCATGGTACTGGAACAAAGCCAGGGCCGCAGACCAATGGAACAGGGTGGAATACCCGTACACACAACCCCAAATGTATGAACATCTAATCTTTGCAAGGGAACAAGAAAAGTGAAGTGGAACAAGGAAAGCCTCTTCAACAAATGGTGCTGGCATAACTGGACAGCCACATGCAAAAAAATGGGCTTAGGCCTTGACCTACACCATGCACAGAAGCTTCTTATTTTAATGTAGTCTCATTTGTTTAAATTTGTTTCCACTTTGTTGGTCAGTGGTGTTTCATCCTTAAAGATGCCTTTAGCTTCAATATCTTGGAGGGGTTTGCCTACATTATCCTCCACATACCCTATGAACTCAGGTCTAATATTGAGATCTTTAACCCATTTTGATCTGACTTTTGTGGGTGACGTTAGACAATTCTTAGTTCATTTTCTTGCATGTAGCTGTCCATTTTTTCCAGTACCACATGCTGCAGAGGCTTTCCTTGCTCCACTTCACATTTCTTTCTCCTTTATCAAAGATTAAGTGATCATATGCTTGAGAGTCTGTTTTAGAATATTCATCTCTGTTCCATTGATATGTGGGTTTGTTTCTATCGCAATATGTGGTGTTTTAATTACTACTGCTTTATAGTACAGTTTGAAGTTGGGGAAGGTGATGGCACCCATCTTCTTTTTTCCAAGGATTGCTTTAGCTATTTGTGGGGGGTTATTGCTCCATATGAATTTCAGGAGTTTTTTGGGGCTGGAGCAATAGCACAGCGGTAGGGCGTTTGCCTTGCATGCAGCCAACATGGCCGACCCGAGTTCTATTCCTCCGCCCCTCTCGGAGAGCCTGGCAAGCTACCGAGAGTATCTCGCCCACACGGCAGAGCCTGGCAAGCTCCCCATGACGTATTCGATATGCCAAACACAGTAACAACAAAGTCTCCAATGGAGACGTTACTGGGCCCGCTCGAGCAAATCGATGATCAACGGGAAGGCCTTTACCTTTACCTTTTACCTCTTTGAAAAATGTCATGGGTGTCCTTATAGGGACACATTGAATCTGTCTAATGCTTTGAGGAGTATTGCCATTTTGACAATGTTAATCCTCCCGATTCATGAGCAGGGATGTGTCTCCATTTCCTAGTGTCCTATTTTATTTCTTGAAGTAGTGTTTTGTAGTTTTGCTGATAACAAGGTACTTGAGTACCTTGAGTTCCAATTTTCTGAGTCACTATTGGAAGTCACCTGTTTTGATTCTATTTCCTCTCAAAGTGTTTTGAAGAGTAAAATATTAATATCTGTTTACTTTGTCCCCTATTAATTACTTGTTTTTGAATTGTTTTGCTGTATTTTAAGTACTGGCAATTTGTTTTTTTGCCTTATAAAAATAAAATGAGGTTTGGTTCTTTTATCACTTTCTAGTCAGGTTCTAAGATTTATCAAAACTTTAGCTCTCCATTCCCTTTTAACCTTTTATTTTGTTATTGTCATAAGTATTATTATCATAAATATATTTTAAACCATTAAATAATTACTATTCATATAGTTAATATTTATGTGTATAATTGCCTACATATAAGCTTGTTATTTTCCTTTTTACCTTATTTGCATTCCTGACCTTCTAAATGAAATTAGTTTCCTCAGTACTTGAAACTATCATTAATACTTTTATAGGGCAAAGGTTCCTGCAGCAAATTCTATTATTATCTATTTGTTAAGAAATTTGGAGTGCAAGGGCAGAAGGATAGTATAGTGAGTAACACACCTACCTTGAACTTGTCCAACCCCGATTTGACCTCCTGTATGGTCCCCAGAGTACTGAGAGAAGTGATTCCTGAGTGCAGTCAGGAGTAAGCCCAGACAACTCCCAGGTATGACCTCAATCTCTCTGCTCTCGAAACAGAATTTTTGTTTTACTTACTATCCGAAGGATATTTCCTCCTCATCTATAAATCTGTAATGGAAACATTTTTAAATGTTTAGAAATAGATATTTGATTGTTATGTAATGAAGATAACTCCTAAATTTTGTAAAAAAAAATCTGTATATACGGTCTTAGTGCCTACTTGGATTTTATGTCAATTTCTAGCTGCTCTGAAGGTTTGAGGTTTGCCTCCACTTTCAGATGCCTGTGACATGCCTGGTGTCACAGTTATATATCTGGGATCAGAGAACTTCTTGAGTATAAAGCTTAATAATTGCTTTCAAAAAATAAAAAATTTGACCAGGAACATCAAATATTTTTTCTGCCCTATTTTCTCTCTCTTCACCTTTTAGGATTACATTTATATGTGTTTTCTTATTTTGGTTTGGTTTGGGTTTTTTGGCCTATATCTATTTCCCCATATTAAAAATATCTTGACTTCTTAATTTTGAATATTTTAATGTCAATTTTAGAAATTTCAGCTGTTTCTTTGATAGATTTGAGAGTTATTGGTTATGTAATCTGTTACCTATTCTGTTCAATATTTTAATCATAATGAAATCTTTGTATTATAATCAATATCCAAAGCACTTATGGCCATTTCTTTTTCTTTGTTCTTTGGCTTTTGACTATTTCTGATACTAGTGGTAAATTTTGATTACTGAATATTGTTTGGAGTTAAAATAAAGTAGAAACATTTTAGGAGTTTGTCTGATGTTATTTTCTTCCAGGCAATATTTGTTTTTTACTATCTGATAGGTATTTAGAGTAGAATGCATAATGCATATAAATACATATATATGTATATGCATATATATGTGCATATATATTCACATATATATTCAGTTCCATAAAAGTTCAGCTGATCGTCACAGCAATCAACTGATCATTTTGCTTGGATTTGTTCTTAGCTTCCCTATAATAAACATTATAATTTTTGTCCAAGCTTCATAGACAAATTAGTGTTTAAAAAGCTACTTTTTAATTGTAGGAATTGACTTTTTGCCTTGCCTTTTTAGATGACAACGAGGTAATGGGGTTCTAAAGAACACCAGTACTCACCCAACTCTAAAAATCACTTTTCATAGTAGTTACTCCACACAAGGTTTTATTATCAGAAACTTGTATTAATGTTGACTTAAAAAAAATCACAGCAGAAAGCCATAGAAGTCAAATGGGTCAAAGAAAATCTGTTTTTTCCAGGTGTCAAATGTCAGTTTTTGTTTTTCTGGATCAGCAACTTGGAAACTTACACTCAATAGGGAAAATTTCTTGATCAAATATCTCTCTTAGGATTAAACATTTTACCACCTAACTTTGCACAGTAACAATTAAATTTCCATCTCTCCTTTGAGGTGATGTGTTTAATATTCTCTTACTAAATTGAATGTGGTACTTGCCAAATGAGTGGTCAGTCTTTCTACCATTCCAATCTGCATCAGAATGGCTATTTCCACAATGTACAGTAACATTGCCAAACTTAGGAAGTCAGTCACCTAGGGAAGGATTTTATTTTTGTCTCATATTTCTTTAAGCTAAAAGTTATTCTTGGCAAATTCCTGAATGAAAGTGTTGTTGATGATCCTATGGGCTGATTTTCAGTATGAACTCCATAGCTCCCAAGATTATGACACTATTATTCTTTCAGTCATCGGTATGCATGCTAATTCCCTGAACAAGAGTGCATATTTCAGGAAGCCAGCATTTCATCCTCTTTTATTAAATGCTTAATTAAAGAAAATTGGTCAGCATCCCCTGTGGTTTTAATTAACTCCTGATTTAGTGGAGGACGAAGGGGGATTCATCATCTCTTCTAAAAGCTTTTTATTTGTGCTTGCTCATAAATATGGCACAACCAACAAAAAGATGATATGAAATGTGATTCGCCTTTCTTTTCTGTTAATTAAAGTCTTCAGATGCTGATGGTGTTGGAAGCTTTAGTGCCCTGCTACCTACAAAAACTCAAAAGGCAAACATCACAAGTGGAGACGGTTCCTGCTGCTCGAGAAGAGATTGCAGCCACAGCAGCTCTTGCCACATCCCTCCAGGCCCTCCTGTACAGCGTGGAGGTCCTCACCAGGTAATGTCAAAGGCAGAAATAACCACACACCATGAATCTACCAGGAAGATGAAGCAAGGGGTGTGTGGGTGTGTGTGTCAGGGGAAATGTGTTGGATAAAAACAGTTAAATAGAGTATTTATTTGCATACAGATAGTATCCCAAACTCAATCTCTTCAAGGTTGAACACTGCAAATACTTCCTAAATTGTTTGGCTAAGTAGACCAAATAAATCAGCAGTAGTATTAGTTTGTTACTACTACGACTTTTATATTATTGTTTTTACCTTGATTGTTTAATCTACATTTGCATATGCCTTACTCAGTTTCTATGGTAGTGGAGCCCAATGGTAAACAAAAATTTTTATAAGAGGGTCAATTTTTTAAATGTGGAAATATGATCCACACTTTTATTAGCATAGCTTTTATATCATTAATGTTAATATCTAAATTCTAACTAGATTTCTTTCTATTATTTTAATGTATGTAAGTTTTTATAGCACAGCAGGTAGGGCGTTTGCCTTGCACGTGGCCAACCTGGGTCCGATTCCTGTGTCCCTCTCAGAGAGCCAGGCAAGCTACCAAGAGTATCCTGCCCGCTCGGCAGAGCCTGGCAAGCTCCCCATGGCTTATTCGATATGCCAAAAACAGTAACAACAAGTCTCATAATGGAAATGTTACTGGTGCCCACTCGAGCAAACCAATAAACAATGGGAGGACAGTGTTACAGTACTACAGTGCTATATAATAAAAGAAAGGACAGGATTTTACTTGAATACTAGAATAAACATTCCATATGGGATAATATTCAATAGGACAAGCCTGAGAGATAGTACAGATGGTAAGACACTTGCCTGGCAAACCGAAGTTTGACCTCGGCACCACATATGGTACCTTGAACACTGCTGAGAGTGATCCCTGAGCACAGAGCCAGGAGTAAGCCCTGAGCACCACCAGTAAGGCCCCCAAACAAAAACAAAAGAAAACAGAAAGATTTGGTATTACTGAGATATTTGGGAACTACATGTAAATTTACTCCAATGTTCAGCCTTAAATAAAGAAGTTGATCCTGTCTCAAGATCTTTGGAAGCAGAAGCAGAAGAGACATCCTATCAGGAAAGACCAGACTGAGGGAGGTGGAGGGAAAGGGAAGAGAGTGGAGAGAAAGGTGGGTATTGGGAAATAATACAAGTGATTGACAGTTCTTCTCCCATTTCTATCTAAAATTGGCCGGAAGGAATTGTTCTTCCTTGATGTGAAAGTACTGAAGAATCCTTCCTGTTCTGTGCTTTTGCTCCTCTATCCCTTTGAACCATATCCACAGAAAAAAATTCTACCAGTGATTTGTCTTCACAAAAAAACACCAACCTCCCCAGCCCTATCTTGCTCTGCTGATAAGGAAACTAACAAAAGTCACTTTATTTCAGCATATGCTAATGAGAAAGAAAAATGATATTGGTATTCATTTAGCCAGTGTGTTTCATTTCTTATCATGAGCTACTTTGCCAACCTCGGCTAGTCAAAATGTCATACTGAAGCCATGCATACCACATCATTGCTGAAGTACTCGTGTGCACCCAAATAGAAGAATTAAAAAGCAATGTCAAGCTGCCTCATCTACTGGAAAATAGTACAATGTTTTGATGATTGTTTTATGGAAGTCCTAGGAGGATGTGTATTCTAAAGAAAACAATCAGACTATACGCTCTTCTTTCTGTACTCTTCTGGTTAGGTTACTAGCCTTTTCTTGCAACTATCAGAGTCAGTTTTCTCCATTTTATTCCTTTTTACAAGTACACATCAGTCAACTTAGCCAAAATTGATCCACTCAAAATTTCACAAAGCATTTTGGATGGAGCTCTAGTATTTAAAATTCTTTGACTTCAGATAGTCTGCTGCACTTAACATTTGGTAGAGTAAAAGACACATTTATGAGTTATTATTGTTCACAATAAAACCGGCCTCAAGGTCAGAGAAATAGTACAACAGGTAAGGTACTTGCTCAGGTTCTAGCTCAGCATCACAGTTGGTCTGTCCATCAGGCACACTGCCAGGAGTGATTCCTGAGCACAGAGCACAGACTAAGCCCTGAGTTTCACTGAGTATGGGCCGAAGACAGAAAAAAAAATTTTTTTAAATCTATCTTCACATTTTTTTACAAATGGTTTCTTTTTCTCTTTCACAGTCCACAATCTTAATTTCTTTATCATCTAAAAAGAAAAATTTAAGTTTTATAAGGAGTAGTACAGAAATAAGAATCTTAGTATTCATTTTATCTTGTCATGCAACACAGTACCACAAACTAGAGGCTTTAAACAAAATACATTTATTAATAATATCAGAATTTCAGAGGGCCAAAAGTTCAGGCAGGCTCTGTTGGATTCTCTGATCCTGGTTTCCCAAAGCCAAAATCAAGATGTTAGTTTATCTTGTTCGAATATTCTGGAGTAGAGCAGGGAGAGTAGGAGTGTGAATCTACTTCCAAGCCCATTGGTCTGGAGTCTATTTTCCTTGTTCTCTACTCTTAGATGTAGCCTAGAATCTACTTCACATGATCTCCTCTACCTTTCTGTCCTATGGTAGTGCCTTGAGTCTTATGTTTATCATCTCTCTGTCCTCACCAGAGAGACCCTATATTCTATACAGGGCTGGTATGATGTAATTAGACTGTGAAGATAATTTCTCTTATGCTACATAATTTAACATAGTCACTGGCATGCCACCAGTGAACAGAATCTTGTGCCCTTTAAATTCTGCTGCCACAACAAGGATGCAGAAAGAAAGTCTGGCATTACTATTACTTACTTCCCAGCTGTATAATATCTTTAAGGGCCTTTGGGGTGGTTCCCAGGATACTCCCCCAGCCTAGCAGAGGTGGTCTGGGTCCTGGGGAAGACTGATGAGGAAACAAGGGCCAAGCTGGTTGATTGATCAGTTGCCATTTATTCGGTTCTCCCCACGCGCCTTCCCCAGTCTCTGAGCCCCCCATTCTAGTCTCACACTCTCCTCATACCCGTTTCCTCCTGTCTCTTCCACTCATCTTTTCCACTCCATCTCGCAGCCTGGGCCCTCTCTCTCTCCACGTGCTTGCTCCTGTATTCTTCTTCTACATTCTTCTCTCTCTGTTCCCCTTGCTAGCCTCTCCACGGTCCATCTTGCTGCCCTGCTCTCTCTCTCATCCCTCCAGCTCTCCCAGCTTTCTACCTCTCCAACTCCCCAGCACTCTGCACCCAGTCTGGTAGCAAAATCAACATAAGAACACCCTTCCTGAAGGCCTACCAAGTTCAAAGAGAACACCACTTAAAAGGTAATCCAAAATCCTTCCTGACTTCCCAAGGGCAAAATACCTCCTAAGGTGTTTTTCTCCTTTCCTCTGTCCAATAATTCTGTCAACATCTCAATACTAGTTATTTTTGTATGGACATGGTAAGAGATAGCATTGAAGCTTGTAGGACAGGTCTCCTGGGAACATCTTGCCACAGACTCAGACTACAGAGCTCAGGCCAGATTAATCATTCCTAACCCTAGCAGGGCCCGAATCTAGTTATTACTTTTTTGGATCATGCCAGCATTTGTCCATGACCAAGCCCTTAACTTATAGTTAAGCATTATGGCACTTTGGTCAGGCCCATCTCGACGCCAGGGTAGCACATACCTTACCGCTTGCTCTGGTTCCGTTCAGTCTCTCATCAGGACCCTGCTTTTGGGGTCTCTAGGAAGTAAGTTCAGCTGAGGCTTAGGTCAAGAGAACAGATGCCCAGGAGGAAAATATCACTGAGAGTCATGTTCCAAAAGCATAGTATATATTGTCTTCTTGTGTCCATACAAAAAGGACATTGCTCTCAATAAACTATGCAAAGGACTTAGGGAAAAGAGAAAAACAATATTTACAAGTCAACAGAGCACAAAGAAGGTATAAATAAACACAGAGGAATGGAAGCACTGTGATGGGAGCAACCCAATAAACCTAAACTACCTGAGGCTATGCAGGAAGGACAAAATAGTGTTATCCTACACCCAGCCACACTTACCTTAGAGAAAATGAACACTGAAAGCAAGTTTTCAAGAGTTTATATAAAAGAAATGGTGTCTCTTGAAATTTCAGGAGAAACTGTATCATTCTCCTATGATTCATAGGCTGGTACAGATACAAACTTTACCTGATATTTAAAGTAAACCTCTCAGAAATAGATGATTCATATCTATTTCTAAGTAACTAGCTTACAGATACTAAATTGTATTTTAGTATTTTTTTTAATGTTTCTGGGTATCCTTGGGCATAATCTTGAATAGAAGTAATCTTTTACTCTTTGACAGTTTCTCAGAAAAATAATGTTTGGTTATGGTGTAGGTGGTGAAAATGGTATGTAAACCCTTACCTTTCACTGTTTGTCTAGAACAGTTATTTCCTGGTACCTGTAACAGTTGGGAAAATGAGCTCTCAACTCTCCATCACTTCAGACCAAGAAATGTCTAGCTGAAATAGTAATCTTTTGTTACTGAGAACCAAGAAGTAGAACTTAAGTCATGTTAAACTCATAGTCCTCTGGGAGTCAAAGTTTTCTTTTAAAATGCTTCTCAGAATAGAGAGCAAAAGAGTGCAACAGAAAAGATTAACATTGGATATATGTCTGTTTTAAGACTAAAAGTCACTTAAAACTTATATGAGCTTCTATAAATTGAGGACTTCCTAAGTGTTTCCACTGAGGTTATTTTTTTTCTGGTCTTTCTATTGTTGTCACAGGCCCATGACAGCACCACAGATGAGCAGGTGTGACCAGGGTCACAAAGGGACCACAGCAGCCAATCACACCATATCTTCTGGGGTGAATACCAGGTCAGTTACTTGTCTTTTAGGAACTCTCGATTTTAATCAATACAATATAAATCTCAACTGTGGGGAATGAAAGGAATCCTGAAAAGAGTTAATACTGAGTATGAAAAACTTCAAGGAAAAGAGAAGATAAGAGTTTATATATATATATATATATATATATATATATATGTATATATATATATATATATCTCAAGACTTTTGAAATGGCCAAGGAGAAATCCAAGCTACCTTCATAATTTGGCAGTTGTGTTGGTTGTTTGCATGAACATGCAAGATGTTTTCTGCCTCCTGGGTAGTCTTTGAACTATTCCATTCTTGCTTCACTTATCTCCAAGTAGAAGGCAATGAAACACTAATAATCAGGAGGTGGTTTCTCATTCCAACAGCAGTTATGCAGAGGCAACTTTTTTTATCATCTGGAATAATTTTCCACAGACATCTCACTCAAATTTTGACTTAGATTTTTAATGACATTTTCATGGTTGTTGACTTAATTTCTTCCCTATTTTGGTATAACTGGAGCGATAGCACAGTGGTAGGGCGTTCGCCTTACAAGCGGCCAACATGGCCGACCCGAGTTCGATTCCTCCGCCCCTCTCGGAGAGCCCGGCAAGCTACCGAGAGTATTCGATATGCCAGACACAGTAACAACAAAGTCTCCAATGGAGACGTTACTGGGCCCGCTCGAGCAAATCGACGATCAACGGGAGGGCCTTTACCTTTGGTATAACTAAATACACTGGTTCATAAGTTAACGTTTTACCTATTTCATTTTGTATGTTTAGTTAACCTCTAAATACTCTAATGTATACATATGTACACACAATTTAATTCACCTCTTCCCCCCAAAAAAAGATTTAAGTTAGGAAAAATCCCAAATCTGCTCAGGAGAAAGTTTTCTTTACCAAATATGCAGAACTTAGCAGGGAAATGAAATATCTTATAGTCTTTAAGACACATTGTTATGTAACATTATTTACATGAAATTAAAACCCTGATCACATGTCTTTTGCATATTAAAAATCAAAGAAATTTTATGGTGATGAAACAGTATTCATAGCAGCTATCAATTCAACACAGATAGTAACCAAATGGGAAATACAGATTTTATATATTAGGCTTAGTGTGTGTGCATTTGTGGACTTTTAATAATGTGAAGTTTAAAGGGCTTTTTGTAGGGAAAAAGTCTTTAAGAAATGCCACTGAGGTGTTGAGTTCCTGCTCTCATAATTATCCAGGCTATTTTTCTCACTCTCAGGTACCAGGAACAAGGTGCCAAACTGCACTTTATCAGGTACAGTAATACGAGCCCTCATTTCATACTATAGTTCTTGACATCTTTTGATGATTGCTTTTTGTGTTGGGTCATAAATTACTTAGAGTTCATTTAATCATCCCACAGCATATTGTTTCTAGGTAAATACTCAGGAAATGGCTTATATAAAGCTACTGCAACTTGGAATCTGGTATCTTCTAGGTTAAAAGACTTTGTTATATTGAAGAAACATTACATTATAACATTATTTAAGTCTCAGGTGCACGCCATTGCAAATCACTGGATATATGCTACAGAAGTTCATGAATGAAAATCCAATTCTAGGATGATGAATTTCCTTTGTCCTTCAAAGATGAGGCTTTCCTAGATCCTATCCTCCTCATTCATTAACTTACATTATGTACAATATAAGAAATCATTTTTTCCTTTAATCTTTGTTCTCTTCCCCCTCAATATTAGTGCACCCACTCCTTTTTAGACTTCCAGTTAAACCTCGTGTCATTCCCCAGGGAAAACCTTCACTTACTAGAGGAAGGGCAGGGCCTTCCTAGAGAGGAACTTGATGAGCGAATTGCTCGGGAGGAGTTCAGAAGACCCCGGGAGTCTCTGCTGAACATTTGCACCGAATTCTACAAGCACTGTGGACCAAGGCTGAAGATCTTGCAAAATCTTGCTGGGGAACCTCGGGTCACTGCCCTAGAGTTGCTGGATGTGAAGTCACACATGAGGTACATGCCTTACTCTCCCAGCCCTTGAATGTCATGTAGAATCTGTGTCTGGGGGCTGGGGATCCCTGGGATGAAAGCTGGGGTTACTTGCATTAATTTTTTTCCTGTGATTTGTATGCATATTGTCCAGAGCCCTCTAGGGAAAATACTCAAAAAGATCTTGAAGCAATAGTAATAGTGCGTATGGAGCTTGTTCTGCTTGCAGTCAAACCACATTTGATCCCAGGCAGTTCATATGGTTTCTTAGTCTGCCAAGAGTGATATCTGAGCACAGAGCCAGGAGTAAGTCTGAGCACCACCAGATGTGGCCCAAAAACAAACAAACCAAAAAGGTTTTGATTTTGTTCTCTATTATACTGATAAGTAATAAATGATTTGTCCAACTCAAAAAAAAATAGATCTTGATGTAAACAACAGAAAATGTTCATAAGGACCAAAGTGCAGTCTCTAGATTTGCTCCCTTTTTTAAAATGACAGTGACAGGAAGCTTGAAGTCTTAGGAAAAAAATCCTTCTTCCAGGTACTGTTTACTATCATGATTCTAGTTTGTTACAATAATTCAGTGTTTCCCTTCCATTATTTTACATGGAAAGGGCACAGCTGCTTTCTGCCCCAGTGTTTATTCTGCTCCTATGCCATCTGAGTGCTCACTGAATCCCACAGAGAAGTGAGCAGTTTTAGCCCTGAGCCAAATTTTGCTTGGGTCTGAAGTCTGCTTTACACAAGTTATACACAATTGTCTTCCTGTGCTTTGAAAAAAGTCTCCTGATAAAATTCTTGCTCTGAGTGTATCTAGTGTCCTTTAAGGACTTTTCCCCTTGGAGTCTTGGTAAAGCTCCAGGCTTGTCTTGCTGTGTGCTCTGATTTCCTCCTTCCCAGGGAGATGCCATGTCACTTGTTATTCAGAGCCTAGAAGCTGTCTTCAGATTCTTAAAAGAAATGGGATTCCTGAGGATCTTGTAGTCAGATTTGGATTCATTTCTTTTGTTGGTGTTCTCCTCACTGTGGTGGAGAGGGATCTCCCAAGTAGTGTTCAGGACACTTAGGGGTCTCTGCCAGTGATTCTCAGTCAACCCATCGGGTAGTTTAGTGCAAGGGACAGTGGTCCTCTGGATCTGTAGTGCCAGAGATTACAGGGACTTTCTGAAAGTACTGGAAGATCTCCAGGGCCATACTCTGTAGTCTTGGTGTTCTCCTGGGCTACACCCTGCCATATTCAAGATTCATGTGAGGTGAGGAATTGAGCCAGGATCAGTTGCATGCAAGGCATGTCCTTTAACCCCTGTCCTCTCTTTAACACCGACCCCTTGTAACAACTAGTGTTTTTTTTTCTTTTTTACATATTTTGTTTAAAACCTGAAAGCAAAATATTGTAGGTGAAAAAAATATTAGCTTGAAAATTTTAGTCTCTTTGTAAAGTTAGTGTTAAGTTCTAGAAATTCAGAAATAACATTGTGGGCCAGAGTGATAGAACAGCGGGTAAGGCACTTGCCTTGCTCACAGCCGACCCAAGTTTGATCCCCAGCATCCATGAGAGTTTCTCAAGTCTGCCAGGAATGATTCCTGAGTAAAGAGTCAAGAGAACCCCTGAGCATCATCAAGGTGGCCCCCAAACAAAACACAAACAAATAAATTACAATTTGGTGAGAACTTCATAAACTTCATTTATGGATTCTTGCATTTTTTTCTTAAAATAACTTAGAAAATTGACAGGTTTTAAATGAGGGAAAAAGAGAGATCAGAAATATGCAGAGAACACAGGCCCTATATAATTGCACATTTTCTAGGCCTTTGTATGTTCATGCTCCCGTTAGTGCGGGAATAGGGAATTTATTCACATTGAGAATTTCAGTTCTTCCACTGGGAAAGGGTAGAAAACTTTGACGTGTTAAAATCTTTGCTTTATAAAAGGGGATGCCAAGATCACCCTTGACTCCAGTGTTTAGAGAGGAGAAGGACAGAGAAGGAAAGAGATCAAGTGAGGAAGAAGAGAACTGGAAGTAATGGCTGAACAGGCATCAGGGCTTCAGTTATCTCACTGATATGAGTGGTATAGTCATATATCCAAAACACAGAATTAACAAAATTGAGAACATGAGATCTAAGGGGCAACCACTGAAACTTTGTAATGTGTCTGTCAAGTTGACAGGTGGGGAAAGGTGGGGATTGGGTTGGGAAGGGAATATGGGAACACTGGAGGAGGACATTTGATACTAATGTTGAAATATTATATGTCTAAAACTCAAATATCAATAACTTTATAAATCACAGTTCTTTAATAACAATTTTTTTAAAAAAGATCTTCATTGTAAGTGTGACCTCTAAATACGAACAGTCATAGCAGAAGATTGTTACTGTAGCAGGCCAGAGCTCATTCAGTTGTTTGTTTGTTTGTTTTTTGCTTTCTTTTTTTTTTGGTAGGGTGGGGAGTCAGGGGTTCAGTACTCAGTGATCACTTGTAACTGTTCTTGGGACTATATGCAGTATCAGGGAGAGAACCCAGGTCATTTGCATGCAAAGTAAGCACCCTGCCTGCTGCACTATCACTCCCACCCTCATTCAGTTATCATAACAACTATCATACCAACTTGCCATTCACAGAGTCAGAGGTTCAGTGTCAGTAGCCATTTATGACAGAAAGGAGAAAGATGAGAGAGGGAGAGAGATAGGAAGCAGGGGGAGAGGGGAAGGAAGAGCAAATTGTGAGGTTTGAAGGTAAAAGGGGGGAAGGATGGGGATGGGGTGAGGGACAAGAGATCTTGATCTTAGGATAAACATTGTCCTATATGGTGGATGGAAGCACTCACTCTGCTGATGGGTGTGATGTTAGAATGTGCATGAAAAATACAATTAACACTATTATAAATCCCAGTGCCTCAGTAGAATGGTAAAAAAAAAATCTTATAGCTTGACCATTTGTATCTACATTCAAGGCATTTGGAGGGAAGATCATGACTCAGACAGGACTAACACTCTCCCTAGAGGTCAAATCTTCTTGGTCATATGAGCTATAGTTATAAATGGTTTGATAGAACTGGCATAGATCTAGACTTCATAAATACTAATGCTAATGAGAGTAATTAAAATTCTATCCTTGACACTAGGGATATAGAATAAAGAACTGGTCCTCAACATCCCCATAGTTAAGTACATATAAAGAAGCACATATAAGAAAAAATGTATTCAGTATTTCAAATACATTATATTATTGATATTCATGTTTCAATCATTTGACAAGGACTTAAGGCAACTTAGAAAATTATATAACACTAGGGCTGGAGAGATAGCACAGCGGATAGGGTGTTTGCCTTGCACACGGCCAACCCGAGTTCGATTCCCAGCATCCCATATGGTCCCCTGAGCACCGCCAGGAGTAACTCCTGAGTGCAGAGCCAGGAGTAACCCTGTGCATCGCCAGGTGTGACCCAAAAAGCAAAAAAAAAAAAAAAAAAAAAAAAGAAAATTTTATAACACAAAGTAATAATATACAAATTAGAAGTCATAACAATATCAAAAGTTAGCAAGCTTGGAACTGGAGCAATAATTCAAAGGACTAAGCACATACTTTGCATGCAGGAGCCTCGGATTTGATGCCTGAACCTCATGTTTTTCTAGATACCACCAAAATCAACCACAGAGCCAGGAGTAGCTGCAAAGCACAACCAGATAGGACTCCCCCACCCCCATCATTATGGCATAATATGTTAATGACAATTTTTTGTTTGGGGCCACATCCAGCGATGCTCAGGAGTTATTCCTGGGTCTCCACTCATAAATTATTCCTGGAGATGGCCAAAGTATCATATAAAATGCCAGGGATCTAACTCAGGTTGGCCACATGCAAGACAACTACCTTACTGTTGTACTATTGCTCTGACCCTTATTTTTGACAATATTGTAGCACTTTAGCACTGTTGATTTTAACATATGTAATGTACTTGAACTAGTTACTTATCTTCAATAAAAATCACTGCCATAAATAAAATGAAATATTACTTTTTAAAAATAGTAAGGATGGGGATGAGCATTTCTTATTTATCAGTATATTTTTAGCAACCGAGGTCTTTATGATTCCACATGCACTTTACAATTGAGTGCTCAAAGTCCTAGAAGAACCGTTGTCTGAATTTAGACAGGGATAGAGTTGAATCTTTATAGTAGTTTCAGTAGGATGGTCATTTTAGCAATATTGATTCTTCCAATCCGTGGAATGTTTTTCTATTACCTAAGTTCTTCTTCCGTGTCTTAAGTGTTTTATTTTATTTTTTATTTATTTATTTATTTATTGAATCACCGTGGGAAAGGTTACAAAGCTTTCAGGTTTAGGTCTCAGTCATGCAAATATCAAACACATTTCCCTTTACCAATACTCATTTTTTACCATGAAGAACCCCAATAAAACCCCACCCCCCCACCCCTCCCAGTCCCTGTGGGGCAGATGAATTCTAGTTAACACTCTATCTGCCCTGATTAGATTCACTGTTTCAATAAAAGATTCACCACTATTATTTAGAGTTTACCCCCCCCCCAAATCAGACAAGCTGAAAAAGCATTGTGAAGTGATTTGCTTTCTACAGCTGGGTTCAAGAATTAAATGTTGGTTTTGGATTTCTGCTATTTTACTTATTGACCCTGGAAGTATTTCTACTGAAAGTCAGATAGTTAAGAAATTGGTTTCTGTGCTCTGGAGTCGTGGCCGTGCTGGAGAGCCGCTAGTGGGGGGCAACTGGTGACCTCGGTAGGGTGTGAAGGACGGACCGGAACACCCCCCTTCCCATGAGGTTTTAGTCGCCCCCACTCCCCCGGCTCATACCTGCTGTCCACAAGGCTCCCATGTGGCCGCCATCTTTCTTTCCAGAGGGAGAAGGGCGGAAGGGACCAACACCCTTTCCCCTCCGGGCAGACATGATGGCCTGGATTAACGCATAGTCCTTTCACTTTTCTGCTCCAAGCTGCTGGGTTCTGCATTAAGTCCTTGTGCTTCTGGGGCTGTGGCCGTG